GTACCAAAAAACTCTGGCTGGCAACAATCCGATCGAGCAAGAGCTAGTCGCTCAACGAATATGTAGGCGAAAATAGAGATGAATTGATTGGTCATACACTGAGGAAACCGTCGAATGAAGTCGCTCTCCAGGCCGTCGAGTGAAATCCCAGTGGGAAGCGACGAGTGGTTCGTGTCACGAAGAGTCTGGACCATCGTGGACCCAGCTGAAGAAGATGGTGGAAAATAGAAGAAAGTGGAGATGTGTTGCTAATGGTGCGTATTTCACTCGAAACTCAAGGGAATAATAATAACGTTTACACTATCCTAAGTAAAATATCCACAAACGGGGAACTGTTATCTCATTTCTTTGCTTAACGAGTTCTACCAGTGTGGTCTTTAACAACAGTAGCATTTCTACAGTTCTGGTAAGAGACGAGAATAATTGGCTATAAGGATGAGTGATCAGTCGTTTCTAAAGTAAAAGTGTGTTAAGAATACACCATGTGATACATACAGTTGTATGATAAAGTTATTGATTCAAGAACATGCAATGTTATCATTTGTCATGTCAATCAAATCAAGCTTAAAATAAAAGCGGTGATTGTAGGTGTGATGAGCAGTTTAGTCTAGGGGCTGTCTATCAACATTCACACATATATATATAATAATGTCCTTCAACCTATACACTTTAATGGGCAGATTCACATAATATTCTATTTCACACATCTAAACCTACCTGTGAAAAGACTTTCGAATTTGTCTCAGTCATCTGACTGTCTCAAAGTCTTATAGCTTATTGTACTTCGGAATAACACCAGAGGCGAATCAATAGTTATGTTTTGTAAAGAATGACGTTTACGCTATACCACCTACGTGATCCTAAGGATTTAGTGTGTGTGTGTGTGTGTAAGCTACGACAAATGATTGATTAGTGACTCTTAGTTCTATGATTACAAAATATCCAAAGTGAAAGCGTGTATCGATTTCACTGAGAGTAATCAAATTGTAGGAATACTTCAGACCAGAGAAAAACAACACATTTTTAAATATTTAAAGTTATGATAATCACTATGGTAACTGTTGACACATCGACAAAGATTCAGTTAGAATTTGTCTAATGCTTCTGGTGTGATGATGAATTTTAGCTCTCATTTTATTGCCGGTATATGGATGATAATGGTGATAATGGTTTTGATAGGAGTACAATAATTACTGAATTCAATGAAGTACATTCGACTATGAAATTCACATGCGAAGAGGAATCCCAAGACAGAATTGCCTTCCTGGATGTCCTACTTACAAGAAAACCAGATGGTAGCATAAAAAGAAATTTGCATAGAAAGAGTACTTGGACAGGACAATATTCACACATTTTCACAGCTTCGTTCCTACCAAGTACAAAAGAAATTTAGTAAAGACCCTCAGCCACAGAGTTAGAGCAATATGCTCAGAAGAAGTAATTGAAGGTGAATTAAGCATGGTATATGATACTTTGATCGAAAATAGCTATTCCGACAAATTTATCAAGAAACACATGACAAAGAAAGCGGAAAAGGACCACTCATTATCTGTAAACAAGAAGCCTTTATATATACGACTACAATTCATGGGCGATATACCAAGAGAGATAATTACCAATAAATTAAGAAAATTAGTTCAAAGAACTTTTAATGCTGGCGAACTACACGTCTTATTCTCTACACGACCGATGGTGCTACCTCGACTGAAAGATGAAGTACCTAGACCAGACACTTCTAACTGTATCTACCAATTCAACTGCACTTTTGGTGGAGTGCGTTATATCGGCCGTTGCTCTAGGAACTTGATTTTTCGTACTCGAGAACATATCCCACTATGACTAAGTAAAGGTGTAGTTAAAACCATCATTGACAGTTCGATATTGGATCATCTGGTGCAAATCGGTCACTAAGCCAGCGTGGGAGAATCTTTCTCTTTAATCTACCGGGTGCCTAATAAATTACCGAAATCATCGAAACACCACATGCTCCAAACAGCAGACACTATCGCAATTCGCCTCAAACAACCTGTGCTTTGTGTTCAAAAGAAGCAAGTCCAGCCCCTACTACTACCCTGGCCGGCCTTCAGTGGAGACTATAAATTCAGGCATGAATTTGTAATATTATCTTCCCTAATTCTTCTGAAATTCAGCTTATTTTATGTTAATGCTATTCAGCTGTAATCTACCAGTATTATTGATTCGATATTATTTAAACATTAATGTCGTTCATAACACTGATTCATTCATTCACTATAATGTATATATATAATTGTAGAACCTGATGATGAATTTATCGAAAACAGTACTCTTTGTTCAGTGTCCATTCTTTTGAAAATTTTAATGGGCATTTTTAATCAATTTTAGCTGCATTAATCTTTCGATTTAATTAGCTAAGAGTCTTATATATGGTGGATTTAATATGCATAGAAGGCTTCCCCACAGGTTGAAGTCCTCAGATAGCATCTGTCACTTATCCCAGTGATAAACGATCCTCGTGAATCAGCCTAACTCAGGATGCATCGCTACACTGTCCATTGAGTTTGCTGAAATATCATGAATTTCACTGAAAGTTTGCTTAATTTGGTCTGAGTCACACTTTATAAATTCTGTCGAGATCCTGCATACATTGTCATCATAAGACATTGAGAGAAGTGCATTACCAATCTTTTCATTCAGTTAACGTCTCCTCTTTACTGTGAAAATTTCTTATTTCGACTTTCATTGCAAAGGATTTGAGTCAGATCGAAGTTTTCTTATTATTCCCAGACAATAGCCACTCTATAAGCGCATAGAATGGAGTAAGTTTTGTTTGCAGATCAACAAAAAAATCATAATTTTAATCCCAATACGATGGTGACAGTGAAAATTATAGATCTGATAATTACTGTGCATTTATATGTATTGATATTCTTACTCCTGATTACATCAAATAAGAACTTATATATCAGTTACTCAGGGAAGACAGATCACTAAATATTCAGCAGCTAAATTCTCATTTCTTATGCTTTAATTTGCGTGTGACTGTCATCTAAGTGCTAATCTACTGAGCCCTCTTTGTATGGGTTCCAATCGCATTTGCTCATCCAAACTGCAAATGACTATTAATGCGACGTATTAGACTGCGAGCAATGAAACACACAGGTTCTTTAAGGTATATCACTTCAGTCGCTAATAGCAACATCGATTATAACAGGAACAATACTGCTGATACAGGACAACTGGAGAAAAGATCCTCTACTGATAACAAAGCTTTCACAGTCTCAAACAGCAGTCAAAACAGTTGACAGTGATCGTGAATACATGATACTAACAAAACAATAAATTCACTAATGAGTTCAAATAGTTATCAACCAAAGGAATTCCGAATTCACCAAGGTTGTCAGATACGAGTGCCTGACAACTGTAATTTTTATCTATTCTTAGGCCATCGCCAAAGTCTACATAAAACGGGGGTTCTAATAACACTAAAGGTTTCATCTATACACGTTTTTCTCAGGCGTAAATAATCCCCTATCGACGGCATACTAAAAATTTAATGTCATCTTATTTTTCACAAATAAGGTTTGATTTGTCAACGTAGATAATAAAAAGAAGTTATCCTCAGTTGTCAGTAATATCTGAATATAATCAAAGTAGATTGTCATAGAATTAACATGTCCAAATGCCCATAAACATTTACTGTCTTTGAATGATAATGTTCTCATTAGACCCCATGGTGTCAAATATTAAGCCTAAAAAACCTGATCCGTGCAGTGATTACTATCCTGCCCCATTCATTCACTTTGCCCTTTTCTATCAATGAATGTTGGAAATAATTACTAAGATGCCTTTACCATTCATCAGCAAAATGTGTAAATATTACTGTTGATCATAAATTCGTTCAGAGATTCGAACTGAGATCACTTAGTGTTATCTAGGCTACGATCACCTTCAGGGAAGAGGATAAAAAACAAAAAATAACAAAAATAAAATACTTCTGCCACCGAAACTTCAAAACTTCTAGACTGAATTCCTATATTTTATTCAGAACGTAAAGGATTAAAAGGAATGATTTTACTCACAGTTACAGATGGATTTAACTGCTAAATCCGGATTTTTTTAGCCCTTGTTGACTGATTCTTAATATTCGTCATTTAAGTAAAGTGTGTGGAGTACGTAACACTTTTTTGTTAGATGTTGAAATTAGAGACATTGTACATGACTTTTGTTTAAAACGATTCATGTTGGAATATAGATAACTTCCGAGTACAATCTAAAATGCAGTGTACTGTTGGTCGTTTCGTCTTCTCACTGGTCTTTACTGTCTACTTGCTTCACTCATAACCAAGTTGTATTCTTTGGATTTTCGCAGGAACCTCTTATTTTCATCCAAAGGCTATTCCACAACCGGTACACAGCTTCTACCAGTAGACACGACTCCAGAAGTGAACGCTTCTGTGGATTATATTAATAATTTGTAGCCGTGGACTTTAACTGTATATCCAAGTAACTATTTAATTAATATAAGTTATTACTGTATTTTTTATAATATACTGATACACTATCATCTCATTAACTTGAAATGTTATTCACATACTTGTTATGTTATTGAGCTCACTAGACAGTCCCCTACAAGTGTGGCTCGTCGACATCCAGTTAACACTTTACATGGTGTGGTTTTGTGGTGAGAGCTGTCTGCTAGCCAAAATTGGAAAACAGCCATTTACGTCAAAGTTTACCGCCCGAATTGTGGTCATAAGAAAAACTAGAACAAAGACTAACTCAACAACCAATCACAGCAGACTTAGCGTGGGCGGATACGATTCGCAGATAATACAACGGACTGTCTAAGAAAGGGCAACAAAGAGATGATAGAATAACCTTGGGCAGGAAAACAACCAATCAGAGGAAGTTACCTCTCTGCTAAAATAACGAATAATAATGTACATTAAAATGCATAAATATCTGTTGATTTTCTCGATAAACGATCTGTTGCCTGACCATTGTCTTCTGTCGTTACAGTGATATTACTTCTTTTTGAGCTATGTGCGTCATCATAAGTTAGCCTCGGACAGTTGTCTGTAAATGATTTATCTGAGATTCCATTTTCAGTATTGTCACAAATTATTATAGAACTTTCATAAAACTCTCCCTGTTTGATCATGTAGGCATATTTTTATTGTAAATTCAATCATATTGGCTATTCGATTCTTGACATATTTATATTCTAATACTTAACATCTTTCCTCTAAGACTTCACAAAACGACACGTTTGTTAATGAAAAAGTAGTGTATGGTGTTTTGATTGCTGAAGAGGTGAGATAAGAAGGTCATTCAATGTTTAATGTCCTTACCAGGGAAAGATTTTCCATGCACCAAACTAATATCATGGCATTGTGTGAGAGTTGCAAGAAAATACAAAGTAATGATTTCCCAGTGAAGTATATATTTCGAAATAAACTGAATTGCATTCCCTAAATTACGCTTTAATATTCATGAGAGATCAGACAACATATTTTGACAGATTTATGTAGAATTTTTGTCTAAGAATACCAAGAGACTAAGCAATTAGTGATCTATTTGTTTTCATTGAACGTCAGTTCAACTGATCCATTCAGTATCAGAAAACATAACACGATGCTTATTTTCTTATTTTATTCCGTGGAGTTTCGAATGGAAGCTACGGCTTCTACTCTGAGCTTGACTTGTTCAATAGCATTGGTGTTTTATTTTCATGAGGTAGAATTGCTAACCTCACCGCCAACTTTCCGTCTTTATCGACCTAACTATCAACTTCGCGGAGTTCAGAAGTACATCGACCGGGAATCGCACCTTAGACCTCTTCCAACTCTACAATTATACACCAATATATGTATACTCAGAATATTGTAGAATAATCGTCACTAACAATATTGTTGCTTTTTAAATAATATTGATTTGTAAAGTAAGATCAATGAAATTACAGTTCAAAAATGATGCATAAGTTATAATAAGCATAACAATATAATAATAGCAAATAGAATATCAAATAAAACCAAGGAAATCTCCACAAAAAGTTAAGCATAATTAAAACTTTAATGACCGAGGAAAGCGTCTGAACCAGCTTCTTTTGGGTACATAAATTAGGTTTCTTACTGTCGATGTCAATGGCCTCAGTGACATGTGGTAGACGAGCTCTTAATGTAAAGTCAAGATTAGTTAGCATGCGGTAGATGACTTTGAAAGCTGCCTCGTTCACATCAATCGTGTGTTCTGTATCCACAAGATGAGATAAAAGAGCGCTATGAATAGATTTTGTTTGTTCGTTATTTAACCACACAGAATGATGTCCCGGAAATTCGACGAGAAACACGCCTAATTGTACACTCTATGTAAGTGGCTCCACAGGAGCAGTCAAGGCAGGTTAAAATATCAGCAGTTCCGAGAAAGCTCTTGTTCTTACAACTTGAGTTGCTCGGGGATAACATCAGTGGGTATTAAACTAATACCTAAGGAAATGCTGTAAAAAAAAGCATTCAGTGCTGTGTCTTTAAAACCACCCCTATTTCGCGTTCAGGAGTAAAAGATAAACTGCCTGATTTCGCCTCTTCTGTGTGTGTCTACTAATTTGACTGCTCCTCATGTGTTCGAAAAATCTATCTATATCTTGTCTTTTAAGTACGGTGAGAATGTGTCATCTACATACTTCCACCATACTTTTGGAGTGGGGTTGAACATATATTACACATATATTAACTACTTGTTTTGTTTTATTTTTTCAGCATCAAACGCTGTTAACTGGTACGTTTAAAAGACAGATTGCAGAGTAGTGGTCAAATAGTTAAAAGTAATCACATTGTTCTCTAGTGTAGTTAGCCCACTGAATGAGTTCCGATATTATCTAATATCAATTACATGGAGGATTTCATCATGAGCTGACATCAGTTAGAGAACCACTGGAAAACCTGGGAGTACTGGACAGCTGTTTCGTCCTAGTTTGAGACTCTTCAGCAGTACGCGCCCACCGGGATTCGAACCCAGGACCTTCTGGGTAGACGAGCTCGCCTTGTAACCAGAAGGTCCTGGGTTCGAATCCCGGTGGGTGCGTACTGCTGAAGAGTCCCAAACTAGGACGAAACAGCTGTCCAGTACTCCCAGCTTGTTTTCCAGTGGTTCTCTAACTGATGTCAGCTCATGATGAAATCCTCCATGCAATTAAACAAAATCCCTACCAAACCAATACTTGATAATATCAATTAGATGGTGAAGCTACGTACACGGAAATAAATTAGTGTTTAGATTTCAGCAGTCTACTCCCCAAATTGACTATTTCAAAAAGAAATCTACACATACACTTGACGCTCCGGTAAAAATATTCAACACTAACCAATAGAGCATGAGAGTGAGAGAGAGACAATTGATGATTTTTTACATCTGCATGTAATCTTATTTTATTTTAGCATAATTCTGCATTTAAATAAACAAATAAGAGCTTTCACCTACAGAACAGCTGATTGTGTAGGTGTAGTAAACATGCAAAAGTATAAAGAGAAATTTCAATTGTAAATAACATTTGATTCACATGTAATTGATTTCTGCCAGCCAAAAATTAGGAGTAATGCGTATAGTTTTGTGCTTAATTCTACTCCATATACTTTACGTCAGTTCTCAACAACAAGTGAAACCGAATCTATTTGCAGAAGTCTTTAAATTAAGATGTAATCAGTTGTCGATTGAAAATAACTTTCTTCCGTAAGTCTCTATGTATTCATTATATCTGATACGTCGGTGTAATATGAAGATGTTCACAATGCTTCTCTCTTTGTTTATGACACTGTATCAGGTGGAATCTTAAACTTTGTGTTTAAATAACTTTACGAGTTGATCACGGATTGATATCAGTTAGAGAACCATTGAAAACCAGTGAGGGCCATCTATATGTTACGTGTGAGGATGGATGTTCCACCGACGACATTGGTTGGGGTCGTGGTAAATCACGAATTGGTAGAAGTTAGAATTCATGAGGCATTGAATTGGATCCCAGTGGCTGAATTGTCTACATGCTTGCCTTGTAACTGGAAGGTCCTGGGTTCGAACCCGAGTGGTAAGTGCCTACTGCCGATGACTCCAAAATTAGGATGAAACAGCTGTCCAGTACTCCCTGGTTTTCAATGGTTCTCTAACTGATATTAATCCGTGATCAACTTGTAAAAACAAAACTAACCCTTACAAACCAACTATAGAAAATTTAAATAACTTACCAAAGCATTTCACAGCACATATACCAATGGTATAGTGATAGGACTCACGCCAACTACTCACTTATTCTGGGTTCGATTCCCGATAGGCACAGGGAGGTAGTCAGCACGGAAAAGAGGGAAGGTTGTCATAAAGTTGGCAATACAACGTCTTGAAGAAAACATCACGGCTATTGAAACTTTAGAGTCTTAAGCCTGAGACCTTATGTTTATAGTGTGCTTTTTAATCCAGTTTATGTATATACGCAAAGATATTAAATATGTATTATACGGGCAACAAGGAGACAGGTACAAAATGGACTCACACAAAAAACTTGGAGGATCTGGACTTCGCCGATGATATATGTCTGATTTCCCACAAACTGGAAGATATGCAAGTGAAAAGCAACAAGTTGGAAGAAGACGCATCCAGAGAAGAAAGGACTTCAGGTGAACATAGTGAAGACAGAGGTGATGAAGATTCCTGGCCAACAGCAACAACAACAGACAACAATCAGCCAGCATAAATGGGAGAAATCTGAAAGAAGCAACCTCCTTTACCTACCTACCTATCTACCTACCTACCTGGGAAGCATCGTTTCAACTACAGGCAGACGGAACTGGTGAGGATATCAATGCGAGCTTTCATTACTCTCAAGTCTGTATGGAGATCACCAACAGCAGTCAGCATGAAAAATAAGATCCGGATTTTCAACTCCAATGTGAAGTCAGTGCTACTATATGGAACAGAGACTTGGCGCGTCACTAAAGGAACTTCGAACAAACTACACACCTTCATCAACAGCTGTCTTCGCTCAATACTACTCAAGATCAGATGGCCGGCCAGAGAAGATCAGCAACAGGGAGGATCTCTGGCAATGAGCGAACCAAACTAGCAGGAACCAACTGTGCAACAAATATTTAGGAAGAAATAGAGGTGACATCACAAGCCAGGTCTCTCACTCATGTGGAACCAGAATGGGAAGCGGTGAGTAAGTTTTTCAGTGCGAGGGTGACATGGAGTGGAGGAGGTGATGTGAAGAGGAGATGAAAGCATGTGGGCAGACGTGGAGCCAGATGAAAACGTTGGCAGAGAACCGAACGCGATGGAGACGTGTGGTTGAAGCCCTATGTTCCTCTGGGAACTAAAGGAAAAATAATAATAATACGGCCAGAAAATATTAAAAATTGCCACATTATGTGCTGGTCAGGTTGTCCCATTTAGATCTATATTGAAGACACGAACCTTGATGGCAAAAATTATCGGTCTGTGAAATCTTGTGTAAGTTGATTCGAATCCGAAAGTAATTTAATGAACAAGAGTCACATTATCATAATGCCGCCAAAAGAAGAAAAATACAGAAATTGAAACAGAGAAACAAAACAATCAAAGAAAATTCCAACAAATAATGTGAAAAACATTAAAACTATACGCGCCATGCCAGTCAAGAAACTATTCTGTCAAATCTTGACGACAGTTCATTTGAATTATTTTGCAATCGAATTAAATTAACAAAGAAACTGTGTAATTGGCACAATCATCGTGTTTTCACTCTCCGTTGTCTGCAACAGAATGCATATCCTAAATCCGTAGCTGTCGAGTCACCTGACAACTCCAGTAGGTCGAATAAAGCAGCTCAATCTTCAGAAAGAAGACAAAGCAATAAGTTCGACAGGGTGCTTCTACTAAACTCTAATCCTAAACACCATAATTTTGAAAATACGTCTAATCATAAAATTCTAGATACTAACAGTTTGAACAGACATGAAGGTGTGATGTTAGCTGATACATAGCAAATCCTGATTAATAAATAAAAATGGATATGCATCACTAATTAATAATACTTGGTCAAAATTCCCGATTGTCTATATTTTCTTATGGAGACGTTAACAAATGTTTTACAACTATTTATCCACACACACAAACACACTCTGTTTAAAGTGTTTAACAAATGTAGACCAATATTTGTAAGTCCGAGGTCAAATTTTGATCACAGCTCATACAATTTTGTCTATTATACATGTTGATACCCGTTTCATGACTCATATGATTGTATAAAGTTTTTAAAAACAAGAGATGTTCCTTTTATATACATAAACCTCTGTTATGTTAATTTCGATTAATTTCCCTGAAGAAGTTCGGACCAGATTGCCGAACGAAACGTTGGAATTACTCATTTCAGTCTGGCTGAAATTTTACAAATATAATTTTTTACAAACTCCTGAACATGTTTCGGAGAAAGGATTATGTAGCATCCATAAACAGTACTGGATGAAGAGATCTGTTGGTGAAAGTCTGTAATCGCCTATTGAAAATGCTTTTGTGGACGTGTGAGCCACATTTCTGATATATACTGAAGCAGTGATTTGACATTAGTTTTGAAAATTCGAACTTCACTGCTTGTGGTGAGTGGCATAGACCTCCCCACTGATTTCAGGCCAGTCAACTGTGTACAGTATACAGCATTCCCTAAACAATCCCCTAAGGACTGCAATACAAATAGTTTTTAGGTTTCTTAATAGAGGTAGTTTTGCTTGACACAATCCAGCGTCTAGAATGAGCCAGTGGCAAATTGTTGTTCAATTGAAGCTGTATTTGCTTATTATGAGTGATTTTTAAAGTTATCCTTGCATTTTTTAGGATATTTATCACAATTTTCATTTCCGAAGATCAGGAATTTGTTCAGTGTAGAGTCCTATTCCGACGAATTCCTCCTCCTGTTTAGCTGTAGAGTCTCATTTGTGTGCAGTTTTTTCTCTTATAAGTGGATAGTAAGAAAAGGGATGAATCATCTTAAGAACAGTTGCTGATATTATTCAGTGCATATGCAAAGTTGAATAAAGCTAATAAAATTACGTAATGAGACATATAGTTTATTTAACAAGTGAGTTGAACTCAGGATGCCCATCAAAACAAAGGGCGATTTTATGTTATCTAAGAGTCTGGGGAGATAGATGAGTCACATAAGGTGAGAGAAATGAAATAAGTAAAATGCTTAGGCGACCTCATATATTTACTGAAGTCTTCAGATAGGAGGTCTTGTCTTCTGGACTTCCACAGGCAATTAGACAAAATAATATAAAACACAGAATAATTGAGCAAAGAATATGCTTTTCGATAAATTCCTCTTCTGGCTCTACAATTATATATATGTATGCTTATATACATAGAATATTCTAGATTAGTAGTCAATAACAATATTAGTGTGTGTTTTAAATAATATCGATTTGTAAAGTAAGATCACAATAGAATTACACTTCATTAAAGATGCTTAAATTATAATAATAAAAAAGATATAATAGCAAATAGAATATCAACTAAAATTAGAAAAATTCCACAAAATTTAGGATCATTCAAACCTAGATGGCCAAGGTAAGGATAATGTCTGAACTAACTTCTACAATTAATAGTGTTCTCTGAGCTGGTTGGTTTAGTTGCGAAGCTTTCGTCGTCCTTCTGCACAACATCTTCAGCGCAATTTTTAGCACAAAGTGAAATGATTTAAATTTCTTCATGAGTGATATAACTGCGTCTCTCGGTAACTATCTTTACATGCGTATTGACCACTTTCTATTGACTTGTATTTTAAACTTTCTGGTCACCTGGTTTACTTTTTATTAGTTGGTATATTTCGTCTATATTAATGTGCTTGTTAATTGCATATTCGTTTTAGTACCAGGATTCTAGGAATCCCGTGGCACTTTTGGTGTTTCCTGTGTCTAAGATTTCAACATTATCCCAATCAAATTGATGTCCATAATTGCCTATATGCATTGATACTAAAGAATATATATCGTGTCTTTCCACAGATGATTTGTGTTCTTGGATTCTAATTCGAAGGGGACACCCACACAGCTCACACAATTTATTTGATAAGTGGTATTAATTTCATCTCCTTTTTCTTTTGGATCTTTTGGTTTGCATAATATCGAATTAAGCGATTTTACTGGTTTGTGTGTTTCAGTATTCTAGCTGTTATTTCAGAGATATTTCTCATGTATGGTAGAATGAATTTTCTTGTGGTCTTTGATGATGGTTCTTTGTTGGTGTTTTGATTTCACCATCCAAGTCAATAGAAAATGGTCAATACACATATGTAAAGATGGTTACCGGGAGACGCAATTATATCACTGGTGAAGAAATTTAAATCATTTCACTTTAAGCCAAATATTGTGCTGAAGATGTTGTCCAGAAGGACGACGAAAGCTTCGCAACTAAACCAACCAGCTCAGAGAACACTATTAATTGCAAATCATCCACCTGAGCTACAAATCTTCTCTATTACATTATCAGTGTATCGCACAACCACATAGAGAAACATTAAAATTGGAGACTTATTCGCGACAAAGACAAATAATAATAAGGATTAAGTCAACAGATGACACTGAAAATGTTAGGGCAGTAATATATAGCCAAGAAGATAAGAGGAAAGTAATTAATGACAAAGTTGAAATTAGGTCGTTCAGGAGAGATTTTCCAAGTAATTGTTCAGTTATATTCTCTAAAATGTCCTATTGAATGTTTCAGTGAACTAATTTAATGCTTCCGTTATATGAAACACTGTAGATATGATGGAAGAGATTTGTAGCTCAGGTGGACGATTTTGATGTGGTTGTGTTCTCTGAGCTGGAGAGTTAATTTGCGAAGCTTTCATAACCCTACTAGGCGACATCTTCAGCGCATACTTCAATTTGAAGTGAGCTGTTAGATTTCTCCACGAGTTTATTAATCATCTCTCCTGGGGCCTTGGACGTCATTGGTTGTTTTTGTGCGTTTCCACACCTTCTAGGTTACTTGTATTGGAACTGATTGTTTCTTTGACTTGAACTTTGACCCTTTGTGTGTGAGGTTTCTTTCTTATCGGTTGATAAATTTTGCCTATCTCGATATGTCTATTGATTGATGATTCACTGGAATACCAAGCAGCCTTCTAAAAATTCTCTGGCATTCTTGTTGTTTCCTCTGTCTACTATTTGAACGTTGTCCCAATCGAAATTGTGTTCGTGATTGTTTGTATGTAGTGATATGAGAGAGTGGATGTCATGTCTTTTGACGGCTAGCTTATGTTCGTGGGTACGAAGACGAAGGGGACGTCCACTTTGGCCAATGTAGTGTTTTTCGCAGTCGTTGCAATTTATTTTATAGATGACGTTGGTTTTATCTTCTTTCGCTGTTGAGTCTTTTGGTTGACATAGAACTGAGTGAAGTGATTTTGTTGGTTAGTGTGAGACATCAATTCCTAAAGGTTTGACGAGTCTTGCAGTGATTTCTGATATATCCTCTATATATGGTAGGGCAACTTTCTTTGTGATTTCCTTGGGGGCTTTTGGTTTGATATCAAACCAAATAAACTATTCAGCTGAGAGAACACAACTACACCATAAAATGAAACATTGTACTACAAGGAGTTCCAAATATGAGTGAAGTTCACTCAAGTCTGAAATAATTCGATTGACAGGAAGAATAACTGAAAAAATAAGGATAAGCCATAGATTTATTTCACTTTAAGCTTTCGTTTACTGAACTCTATCAATTCACCTCTGCAATCATTATGATAAAAACTAACCATTAAGCTTCCAAGTTAGATCATATGAAAGATCATGTGATTATGAAAACACTACGTTACTATTTAGCACATGATTTGCCAAAAAACCGCCGGTAATTTCTACATAATTTTGAAGTCAGTCGACTAAACACCAAAACAAAACGTGTCATAAATATTTTAATATTATTATTATTGATCCCACAAACTCAATTGGAAACAAGCTTTCTCGGTTAAAGGATCCAGCGTGTGCAGCCTTTAAAACGAAAAAATTTAGTTTATCTAATACCCTGCCTGCAATGATTGTCAGGTCAAATACATTGGTCAAACTAGTAGAACAGGGGAAGTCAGACCAACCGAACATAAAAACTTAGCAAAATCTAGATTGGTTGATCCAGATAAGATAAGAAATCTGAAGAATAGTTTGGCTATACCACTCACTACATGCAATTACACACAACCACAAAATAGGATGGATTGGATAGGATGACAGTTTTAAAATCTAATGTCACAGCTTGATGGAGGGAGAGATTGATAACAGAAGCTTTGTTTATCGAGTCAACTGCAAATAAGTGTAATAGGAATGATTCAACACCTGTCTCAGATATCTGGAAAATTCTACAACCCCAACGACGAGAAATGGGAGAGGACAAAGAAAACTATAAAAGACAAATTTCGAAGCCGTATGATTATAATTGATGAAATGGTGATGAACAATAAATTTTGTTCGAAACCTCGTCATCCAGTAAATAATAACACTGTTTCACTGGCTGTGTGATATATCTAATAAACAAGCTAGTATGGAATTATTATTGATCCCTTTTTCTTTTGTCACAAGAAGATTCATCGTGCTGAAGTTTCTGTAGCAACCAGGAACCGATTGTGCAAGAAATAAGCAGGAAGAAATGGAGATGGATTGGCCATGTTATGAGAAAACAAACCACCAACTTACATCTCAAAACAGGCCACCATTCGAGTGGAACCCGAATGAGAAGTGGTGAGTTGATCTTAAGTGTGAGGGTGACATGGAGGAGGGCATGCAGAGAAGAGGAGATGTAAGCATGTGGACAGACGAGGAGCCAGGTGAAAACGTTAGCAGAGACATGCAATTGAAGCTCTGTTCCTCTACGAACTAAAGGAAAGAATAATAATAATTATCATTAATCCCTTGTATTCCGAGTGAAAAATAGGACCTTGACACCACGTCTACACTTCATTATGTTCTCTGCAATTCTCTTTAGCTGGTGCCACTGTTACCTATGGTCTATTATCTCCTCCATGTCACCCTCGGACCCACGTCCAACTCGACGCTTCACATGTGGGTTCCACTCAAGGGCTTGCCTATCGCACAATGTCCCCCAACGGTCTCCTAAGTGTGTGTCCTATCCATCTCCCGTGTGCACAAATCAATGGTTCTCCATCCTAACTGCTAAGGCATCGGTAATGCAAGGTATGCAGAAGCGTACCGTTTCTGAAATGCTTTGTTTGTTCTTTTAGATAACTTTGAATGAATGAATCCCCGTTGTATATCGAGTGACCAGTGTTGAATATGTGTTCAGTTGTCGCACTTCTTATTGACCTACAGTTATCTTTTCTTAGCCAGGTGGGAAACGTTTCTTTGACTCTTTTGTATAAAACTCTCATCGAATGACCTATATACCTGACTCAACAGGAGTAACTTAATTGGTAGATCCACATAGAAATGGTTAAATGTGATAGTTTAGTTTTAGAGCTGTTAAAGAACATTTGGAGGCGACAGAATGTCCTTTTCAGAGCGTTAGATTTTGTCTTCCTTAGGATGTCTCGGTCAGAAGGTCCCCTCTGAACCCCAAATCAATCATTTAATAGATTAGTCATCATTAATAATATTTTGATACGAAAAATATTTTGGTAGATTTGTAATCTAATATATAAAGTTTTTTAAATTAAAAAAAATTGTTTATGAAACATGTTTAATTTTCCTAATATTAAAGCGTAAATTGTACTCACATGTGGAATTTATTTGAAGAAGCATTGCTGAGTGCACATAAACAGTCAGAATGTGTTATGAAACCTGAACTCTATGCGAAATTTGTCAAGTATGCGTTTTCAGTACAACCAAAAATCACTGAAGTGAGTAAAAGCGTTTTCTTATGAAATAATTTACTCAAAACAGTTGACATATTTTTTGTGATTATATTTCCACAATTAATTGTTTCATCCCGTTCCCTATATCTTATTTGAGGGATTTATTACTTCTATGTACTAACAATGTTAGGTTTACATTTGAAGGCGACTGTTTCCGCCAAGTTGATGGTGTTGCTATGGGAAATCCGTTAGGGCCCCTTTTAGCAGATATTTATATGTCGTGCATTGAGAATTTATTGGAGGATTTAATCGAAAATGTGTTACTTTATAGAAGCTACGTAGATGATATTGTAATCATTAGTGAAAAGTCTTGTTCTGCCACCTCAATTTTAAATAGAATGAATGAAGTTCAGAATAGCATATCACTTACATCTGTCTGCAGAAGAGGAAGACAATTGTTTATCTTTCCTAGACATATTGCTTAGTCGACGGGTGGATGGGGCAATAAAAAGGTCTATTTATAGAAAATCTACCTGAAAAGGACAGTATCTTAATTATCAGAGTAGTCAGCAGAACACTAAGACACCCACTTTCCAACTCGCCCCATAGAAAAACGTGTACATCAAGCTACAAAATAGGCGGCATCGTAGCAGCTTGATAACTAGACAAAGATTGAATAATGCTGATAAAAAGACTTTTATGCACCTAATATCATAATAATTGAGAATGTGAAGCCGATATATCTATCTAAGCCCTTGGAACATGCGAAAAGGGATGTCACATCCCACTGTATTTAGCAGTTTGAATGTAAGTGTGGCCACACATATATAGGGAGGACTCATCGATCTCTGAAAGTAAGGGCTGGCTTCAGAGCATATTCCTAAATGGCTCCAGAAACAAATGGAATCTTCAGAACCTATTAACAGTGAGAACAGAAGACCTAGCTCCTCTACAACCAAACATATTATAGAGACAGAACATAAAATTGATGCTTACACGTCTTTTAAACCTATCTATAAAACGCGTATCCTAAAGTCTGTGGAAGCCCTAGCTAGCAATTAGAAAGTTTAAGCCACCTTTATGCGTTCAAAAACAATTCGTCATCACAATAAACCACCTTCCTTGGTAAACTTTGTTTTGATGTCAGCCAGAGTAGATGTACTATTACCTCTCTTATTTGGTTTAGTGGTCTTCGTTGTTATTTTGACCTTCAATATGTCCTTTTAACTTGACCTGAATTTATTTTCTCACCTCTTAACTCTATTAATTTCATATATATATTCCTATGACAAGTCCGTGTGTGATCAGATTGTTCGATATGTGTTGCACAAATACAGCATTACACGATTCAGACAAATTACGTCTTCTTATTGCTTTATCTAAATTCATAAAGGGAACTAATTGTTTTAAATAATTTATAAAATATACCCCTTTTGTACTATTTTATCAATAGTTTCTGCTTATTTACATAAAACTATGTATACTACTGATTGCTTGAGATGAGTAGTAGTTGTATACCGCTGTCATATCAACCAGTATATGAGTGGTGCCGAGCTCATCAGCAGTTTGCCCAGTTCGACAAAGATGAGAGGGCCGTCCAGTGTTCTGGCTAGCAAGTAGTACTAGTGGATATGAGCGAGTGAGATACAACTACTCATCTCAATTATTCAGTAGTATGTAGTTTTACGCAAATATTTTAGCCAGCTAGTGGAATGATTCTCATGAAATAGAGTACCCTCATGTCATTTCAAAATGACTATACATACTACATGAACTATTTTAGATGATACTGTAAGGAGCTTAACTATTTTCATTATCACAAGGAAAGCAGATAACAGTTAAACAGATCTGAATTTCAAACACGTTGAAGTTAAATAATTATTATGCCTTCTTTGTCGAATAGTGATCTGCTTGAATCACTAGGCTAACTGAAATTCCAACCATCGCAGTGCATAATAATAATTATTACTATTATATTATTGTTTCCTTTAATTCAGACGCACGTCTCTATATGCTTTCATCTCCTCTTCTCTGCATGACCTCCTCCATGTCAACCTCACACTGAAAACCAACTCGCCGCTTCCCATTCAGATTCCATTCGAGAGATAGCGTGGCGTGTGATGTCACTTGATGATCTGTTTTCTTAGAGTATGGCCAATTCACCTGTATTTCTTCCTGCATATTTGCTGCACAATCGGTTCTTGCTGGGTCGGTTCGCTCATTGCCTGAGATCCCTCCATCTGTATTGAGCGAAGACAGCTGTTGATGAAGGTGTGTAGTTTGCTCTAAGTATCCTTCGTCACCCGGCGTCAAGTCTCTGATCCTTATGGTAGCACTGACTTCACATTAGAGTTGGAAATCCGGATCTTATTTTTCATGCTGATTGCTGAATGTTGATCTCCACACTAACTTGAGAGGAATGAGAGCTTGCCTTGCTTTCCCGATCCTCGCTTTGATATCCTCATCAATTCCGTCCGCCTGTAGTTGAAACGCGATGCTTCCTAGTTAGGCAGGTAGGTAGGTAGGTGAAAGAGGATTCTTCTTTCAGATTTCTCCCATTTATTCTGGCTGATTGTTGTCTGTTGTTGTTGTTAATGCCATTGGCCAGTAATCCTCATCACCTCTGTTTTCTCTATGTTCCCCTAAAGGCCTATCTTTGATAACGCAGTGCATAAAATTTTCTCTATTTGTCTTTGCCTTAACCATTCCGCCATTTTCATCGGTCGCCAAATGTGCTCATGAAGATTTTTAATCGGCTTTCAACACATTGCCGCCGGTTTCTCGGTGAGGAAATAAAAATAATATAAGGGAATATATCTAATTCTTGAGATTAAACAGGGTTAAGTCATATGAGGTAATTCAGGCAGCTATTTTACTTTCGAATCCTTGATGAAGAGAAAATATTTTGCAATAAGCAAGGCTGAAAGTGCTGTATATTGTGTGAACATTTTGTCCAGGATAAAGCTGTTATTACTATTGTCATTACTTGAAGTTTTGCTTCACTTTTCATAAGCAGAATCTAAGATTATCAGCTTCACACTTGTTATATCGCTTTTCGTTTTGTTGAGTAGTTCCAGTTTTGCCAAATGAATGATTTTCAACCTATAACAATGAACTGAGTAGTGAATATTTATAGTCCAGCTCGTCGTTCCATACTTTGAAATTATTCTATCATTTTGAAAGAACTCATTGATAGGGACGGTTTCATAAACTTCAACAGGGATAATAATATTAGGCTGAATTAAAAGCCATTATTAATGACGACGTTTCGAGAACAATTTATTGTTACTCATAATCATATCAAGGCACTCACCCACTCAACTTTCTTCCTTCATTTATATACATGAGTAAAAAGTGATGATTAGATATTTGAATAAAATCAATTTAAGATAACGTACATTCGGAAATAATGTTAGTGTTATCAGTAAAACACAAAAGAACGGGAAATAAGATGTTTTTACTGTAAAAATAAATAACTTTCTAGAATGTTATAATGTGAACTGAATTGAATATATTTTAACATTATTTATTATCCTCCTCTGATTTGACTGGTGGTAATAACATATTCCATATCTCTGGTATTTGCGTTGAGTCACTTCTATCGCATGTGTTGGCTGTAGTAGACTCGATGAACCAAGATTCAGTAATCAATCTCTCTCTATCTCCACCTACCTATATTAATTTTTAGAATTTCGACTCTGTCCCTTCCATCATATAGTGTGATTGTATGTTAATGCATTCAGTGCTATCGTTGAGTGTTTTTCTAAATTATTTATCTTTGTAGGTGGGAACAATTACTCTAACTTTAGCTAAATTCTTATATTCTGATATTCTCACTACTCCTGCCTGATCTACTAGTTTGACCTACGTAGTTGACTTAATTCATAATGATAGTAAGGTATTTTGTAAATTAATTTTGTGTAATTGGGACCATCGAATGCTTTAGTCTATCGAGCTCGTCCTACCTGAGTGAGTCTGCAGGCTTGAATGCCATCCTAAATCCTGCTTTATTGAGAACCTCACACCCAACACATGCAACAAGAATGACTCAATGCATATACCAGAGATATGGAAGATATTATTACCGATCAAATCAGAGGATAACAAGTAATGTTAAAATGCATTCAATTCATATTATAACATTCTAACAAGTTATTACAACACTCGTTTTATTTCCAATCCCATTGTATTTTCTCATAACACTAATATTATTTCCGAATATACTTTATCTTCCTTTCTGTGTCATGCAAGTTTTATGCTGATTTTATTCAAATATCTAATCATCAGTTTTTATTCATGTATATAAACGAAGCAAGAAAGTTGTGTGGTCGAGTACCTTGGTATAATTATGAGTGGCAATAAATTGTTCTCGAAACGTCGTCATCAGTAAATATTACTGTATAACACTGTGTGATTTTATCAAAATAAATTTTATCCACAGTGGAATTACACCCTACCACAGTGTCCAAGATACATCCTTACATCGATTATATTAATAATAGATTTCGTATAAAAGGATAATCACTGCATCTAGCAATAGTTCATTCTTGGTGTCGTATTTTATGTGTAGTTCTCTGAAGTAAATTTATGAAACGTTAACACAGTCCTAACTCGGAATCGCACCAAGATAATGAAAGTAATGATCAGCACTGCATTACAGTTGGATTTTTAGATTAACTAATGCAGAAAATCAAAACAACATAAGGGAAAGGGGAAAATATCACTATCTCCATGGCCTGAACATAAATTATCAGTAACAAACAAAAAGAAATTGAGCAGAGAATGTCCTTTTCGATAATTTCCTCTTCTGGCTCAACAATTATGTATACATAGAACATCCTAGAATATTAGTCAATGACAATATTAGTGTTGTTTAAATAATATCGATTTGTAAAGTAAGATAACAATGGAATTACAGTTCACTAAAGACGCATAAATTATAATAAGCATAAAAATATAATAATAGCAAATAGAATATCAAATAAAATTAAGGAAATCTCTACAAACACCTGAGGATCATTCAAATCTAGATGGCCAAGGTAAAGACAGTGGCTGAACCAGCTTCTTTCGGATACATGAGTTAGGTTTCTTACTGTGGACCTCAGTAAAATGTAGTAGACGAACTCTTAAGGTGAAGTTAAGATTAGTTAGTATGTGGTAGATGACTTTGAAAGCCACCTCGTTAACATCAACCTTGTGTTGTGTATCCACTAGAGGAGATGGTATAGAGCTATGAAAGGATTTTGTTTGTCCTTTACTTAACCACTGTGCAGGATGGTGTTCGGAAATCCGATGAGATATTATTGACAAAAAAAGCCACATTGTTATTGACTACTAATCTAGAATATTCTATGTATATAAACATATGTATATATAATTGTAGAGCCAGAAGAGGAATTTATCGAAAAGGATATTCTTTGCTCAATGTTTTTGTTTATTCTAGATGTCTGAATGAATATTTTCGCTTTATCTGTAAAACGTCGTTTTTAAAACAAAAACTCAACTACCTGTGTTTACACTAACAGTACTAAATCAATATTTGTATTCAATTGCACATTGGCATGCATAAAGTATAATTATCATGGAGTGCCAATGCACCAATCACCTTCAATGGATACTATTTTTTGGTGAGCAGAACCTACTGTGCACTACGCATCGAAAAGCCGTTTATTTAACATAATAATAATGATAATGATAATTCAGACAAAATAAGTGACGCATCGGTATGAAGAACAAGTAATCCTTGTAACGTTTGTTTAACATTTTCGATATGTGACTTTGTAAGACGAACAAGATTGGAGATATTTGGTTGCAATTTACTGGATTTCAAAGTTTTGTAAAATCGCCTCGGGAAGGAATGATTTTCAGCACATAATTCATAAAATTCCAACGTGTTACGTTCGACGATAATTTTACACCTAAAGGTTAACAAGTTCATTTAACCTTTTGTTAGTGTGTGGAGGTAGCCTTCTCTTTAAAATGATCAATAATATGCCACATGAAATTTCTTCAGTTTTGTGAAGATGTTACTCAGTAAACAAAGACAAATATACAAAATAAGTTAAAGAGTTCAGCTGATGATCGAAACCGCGCAGATCTTTTTCCGGTGAATCCTGATAAGTATGTTACACATCTTTCTGATATTACTCTATCTACTCATCAGAAAGAAGCTTTATCCCTTGGACTCAAATTTCGTGTTCCTTGCACGCAATTTACGGATTTAGCGATCCATGCTGAGTTTGAAAACTTATACGACCAACTCAAACCTCTTGCCGTAACATCCGATGAAGATCGGGGTTGGTTTAAGACCAAGATGGTGGATACAGCTCACCAGTTTTTGAACAACAACCCAAAGGAGAAAAGTATTTCAAAAAATTTCCAGCATTTCAAAGCCTTGAAAGAGCTACGGGAAAATTGTAATATGACTTCATTTCCATAGCTGCACAATAGACAATAACAATCTGTTTTCTAGTGTGTGTGTGTGTGTGTGTGTGTTAAAGTTTGACAGTGAGTGGAAACATTAAAGTGTGATAATATTGCTGTATAGAATGTTTAGTCACAATTGACTACATGTATGAATGAATAACTAAATGAATAAATAGAGGTCAACCTAAAGTTCAATAGACAAGTGGGAAATAGATGATCGGAAAATAAATTAAAGTACATTCGGGAAACTTACGGAATCCTTCGAAGAGAGGACAGGAGTAAGAACAAGGCTGATTGCAGTAGACTGGATAATGCGACAAACAGCGGGCAATGAGGAAACAGGCATAAAATGGACTCACACAAAAAACCAACTTGGAGGATCTGGACTTCGCCGACGATATATGTCTGATTTCCCACAAACTGGAAGACATGCAAACGAAAAGCAACAAGTTAGCAGAAGAGGCATCAAAGATAGGACTTCAGGTGAACATAGATAAAACAGAGGTAATGTAAATTCCTGGGCAACACCACCAACAGCAACAACAACAACTGACAACAATCAGCATAAATGGGAGGAACCTGAAAGAAACAACCTCCTTTACCTACCTGGGAAGCATCGTTTCAACTACAGGTGGAACTGACGAGGATATCAAAGCAAGAATCGGAAAAGCAAGACAAGCTTTCACTACTCTCAAGTCTGTGTGGAAATAGATCAGCAGCACTCAGCATCAAAAATAAGATCCGGATCTTCAACTGCAATGTAAAGTCAGTGCTACTATACAGATCAGATACTTGGCGCGTCATAAAAAGCACCTCAAACAAACTACAGACCTTCATTAACAGCTGTCTTCGCTCAGTACTCAAGATCAGATGGCTGGCCAGAAACGATCAGCAACAGGGATCTCTGGGAGCGAACTAACCAGGAACCGATTGTGAAACAAATATACAGGAAGAAATGGAGATGGATTGGCCATACTCTGAGTAAACCATCAAGTGAGTGACATCACACGCCAGACAATCACTCGAGTGGATCCCGAATGGAAAGCGGCGATTTGGGCGTGGGTCCGACGGTGACATGGAGGAGATCATGCAGAGAAGAGGAGTTGAAAGCATGTGGCCAAACTTGTAGCCAGGTGAAAACGTTGGCCAAGGACCAAACTCAATGGAGACATTTGGCTGAAGCCCTATGTTCCTCTACGAATTAAAGGAAACAATAATAATAATAACATTCGGAAATGTGAATATAATATTATGGAAACATAGGATGAGTGAAATGTTGTCAAAGTTGTAGACTAGATAGAATGTTAGAATATGATAAAATGAAGTAAAATGAAATGAAACAAAAATGGAACACGGAATAAAGAAGGATAACAAAGTCGTTATGCGAATTGCATAGTAAAGTCAAGACCATGGTAAAGTACAAAATTGTTTTGTTCATCAAAGTTCTGGCTTTATGTTAAGTACTGCTAAAGCCTCTGCTATACAAAGCAAGCGCACTCGTGCTCCTTTCGGTAAACTTTGTCTGACTTTGTAGACTATATTGAACGAAGTGTCAGATGCTGAGTGGTCAGTATCTACAATATGTTGCAATCTGGATGAATCAATACCTCTACGCTCCACTGCTTTGCCCAGGCAAACTGGAAGGCTTGGCAGGATATGTTTCTTGACAAACGTCCTATGTACCTAGCTCCACAAGAGCAGGTGAACATATAAATACACATGGAATTAAACAATCGAAGTAACACTTCCTTGACATTAAGGTGCACCAGTAGACGGCTAGATTAGGTTATTCGTTGAGTGACAGTAAACAACGTTTTTCTCAGTGATCTGGTCAGAAGATTTTTAAGTCTTTCACTAGCAGTGTCACCCCTAAATGCAAAGTTTAGGTGGACCACTTTTCTAGCTACTTTACCAATCTCTGTATTTCTCGCACATACTTTACTATTGGCCTCTATGAAGCGTAGTGGATACCCGTTCTCTATGAAGGTTTCTTTCATTTGTTTGAATTCATCATCAACACTGTCTTCACTGCAAACTCTCCCCACCCATGTGTTGAGACAGAACGGATTAGATTCCTTTTTCTATCTGTGGGGACAAAAGCGTAAAAATTGATCAGTTGTCCCGTCCACGTCGATTTTCTGTAAGTAGATTTTTTCAAAGACCCATCGGCTCTCCTTGTGAGTAGTACATCAAGGAGAGATTTTTTCCCTTGGTTTCTTTTTCAAAAGTAAACTGGAAAGCAGGATGTCATTTAATTCACAGTTCTCGTCGCATAAAATGAACGTGTCATCCACGTATCTTTTGTAAAAGGTAAATCTCTTTATAACAGGTGTGAGAGAATTGCTGTCCATACTAGCCAAAAAGAAGTCGGCTAGTAACGGACTAAATGGTGAGGCCATAGCTGCTCCATCTCTCTGTTGATAGATTTCATTGTTGAAAAGAAATTGTACATTGACAGCACATCGAAGCATTAGCTCTTTTAGGTATGATGTGGGAATTCCTACGCTTACACTATGTAAGTCTATGTAATTACAAATGAAGCACACAGTTTCATTTAATAAAACATTGGTAAAGCATGAGCATTTATCAAGTGATAACATAATTTTTCCAGTAACATTAATATCATTAACGCAATTTACAAATTTGTATGACACTTTTGAATACGATTGTACAGCTATGAAAATGAGATCGCCGGATTCTTTGTTCTTATATCTCAGTGTGATTTTTATTTTAATTAAAAATACAAATACGAATGATAATCAAACACCTTAACCCTAATCTTAACCACAACCCTAACCATAACATGCTATCAGATCACTGTCCAAACAGAAATTAGAAACGAAATAAAGATAAAATTTGCACATCATTTCGTGTACAGTGTTCACACTGGCACTGTAATAACGGCTGGTTCTGTAATCCAATGAATACTGTGCGTTCAAGGTCACTGGTGCGTTTGCACTCCACAGTGGTCGCTATTCTTTAGGTTGGTGTGAACATCTTTAATACTGATGGATTTTAATGTCTTGTACTTCAATTTATAAGTTCCATATTTCAATAATAATAACAATAATAATATATTTCTGTTGAATGGAAATCTTCTCTTTTAATTTCCCTTTTAAGCAATATTTCCATTCTCAAGTCATCGACGTGGTTCGTGGAATGTGCAAAAATCTTCGAGAATGCTACACTTTAGAACGAACTTATGCAGGTTAGTAGTTTTATCAAAGTAATGTCAACATTTGACTGACATCGAAATGTTTCTTTTTTTACCGCATTTACCTCTGAACAGATTCACCACAATTTATGGTGAACAGCATAACGTAAAGCCCACAATTTTACTACAAACATGACAAAATAGGCAAAGTTAAACTTTAGGCACCATTAACTACCAATGTTTGTCGGTTAAAGGATCCTGTGGAGCCCTTAAAACAAAACAATTTAGTTTATCTAACACCCTGCCTGCAATGGTTGTCAGGCCACATACATATGTGAAAGTAGTAGAACGGGGTTAGTCAGTCAGACTAGCGGAGCATAAGACCTAGCGAAATCTAGATCAGTTGACCCAAATAAGATAAGAAATCTGGAGAATAGTTCAGCTATAGCACTCACTACATTCAACTACACACAACCATACAATCGGATGGTTAGGATAGGATGACAGTTTTAAAATCTAATGTAACAGCTAGGTGGAGGGATAGATTGATAACAGAAGCTTTGTCTATCGAATCAAATGCAAATACGTGTAATAGGAATGATTCAACACCTGTCCAGCTGGACATCTGGAAAATTATACTACCTCTACGACGACAAATAGGAGAGAATAAAGAAAACTATAAAACTAAAGTTTCGAAGTCGTGTGATTATAATTGATGAAATGATTATGAACAATAATAAATTGTGTTTGAGACTTCGTTATCCAGTAAATAATAACACTGTTTCACTGACTGTGTGATATATCTAATAAACAGACTAATATGGAATTACATACCACACCACAATGCCCAAGTTTTACACTTATATTAAAGAAGAGAGAAATTAGGATTGTGCGAATCGGTTACTGATTATCGCTGCTGATGTTACTGCACATGACTAATTTCCTAAAGAAACGTATATTATGACAAAATTCTAGTCGAATCGTCTATTTCTTAATTAGTTAACAATTTACAATGTGCACAGTCCAAGGTGTGAAGTTTTAACCACAGTTTCTTCCGAAAATCAAATTATTCAGATCACCCCTGTATGTGATCTGCTGGATACCTTAAATGGCAATTAGGAAAGCAAGCATATCTGCATAAAACGATATACTACTCGTTGATTGAAATGAGTAGTCGTTTACCACTTATGTCAACCAGTAGTGCATGCTAACCAGATCACTGAGGTAATCTAGACACAGCACTGTCGTTTCGCTCGTTTGGTTCTGAGCTCAACAGTGCTGTACCCGATTTTGACTCAAATTATTAAACCGAATCAGTTCAAACCACCTAATATCATCCATCAGACTGTGTATACAATATATTGCTAACTAATTCATTGTTATTATTGTTTCCTTTAGTTCCTAGAGGAATATAGGGCTTCAGCCACACGTCTTCATTGGGTTCGCTTCTCTACCAACGTTTTCACCTGGATCCATGTATGCCCACATGCTTTAATTACCTCTTCTTCGCATGACCCACTCCATGTCATCCTCACATTGAAAACCAACTCTCCGCTCCCCATTCGGGTCCCACTCGAGTGATTGTCTGGTGTGTGATGTCACTCACTTGATAATTTGTTGTCTCAGAGTATGGCCAATTCACTTCTATTTCTTCCTAAATATTTGTTGCACAGTTGGTTCCTGCTGGGTTGGTTCGCTCATTGCCAGTAACCCTTCCCTATCGCTGATCTTTCCTGGCCGATCATATGATCCTGAGTAATGAGCGAAGACAGTTGTTGATGAAAGTAAGTAGTTTGTTTGAAGTGCCCTTCGTGACGCAGTGTTATGTCTCTGATCCGTATAGTAGCACTGACTTCACATTGGAGTTGAAAATCCGGATCTGGTTTTTCATGCTGCTGAGTGCTGTTGATCTGTCTCCATACAGACTTGAGAGTGATGAAAGCTTGTCTTGCTTTCTCGATCCTCGCTGCTTTGATATCCTCATCAGTTCCGTCCGTCTGTGGTTGAATCACGATGCTTCCAGGGTAGGTAGGTGGGTAGGTAAAGGAGGTTGCTCCTTTCAGATTTCTCCCATTTATGCTGGCTGATTGTTGTCTGTTGTTATTGCTGTTGCTTTTGGCCAGGAATCTTCATCACCTCTGTTTTATCTATGTTCTTTTCTTCTGCCAACTTCCTTCTTTTCACTTACATATCTTCCAGACTTATGTCATCGGCGAAGTCCAGATCCTTCAAGATGTTTTTCTATGGGTCCATTTTATGTCTGCTAACTACTTTGCCAATAATGAATTTCCCGCATGCTGTCACTATTTCGCCTAAGTAGCTGGTGAGAAAGCAAAAATGTTTGAAGACAGGCTGATAAAAGAAGTGACAGTTGCTTCTAACCAACTATTTTCCTCCTTACCACTAAGAACTTTGATGTCTAGAAGTGTTATGACGGAAACTCAGTATGTATTTATATAAATCCAGCTATTGGATAAAATTGAAATACTGTTGTAAAACACCTAAATAACGCTATGATGATTTAGAATGCCACTTTCATTCTGCTGTACATCAAAAATCTGATGGCTCAAAATAACCAGAGGTGATTCTCTTAAGCATTTAATATAATTTCTAGGAAGTTTAAAATAGTGACTGACAAATATTCATGTCTATTAGAAAAAAATCTTACTTTACCTGGAAACAAAACTGCACAGTCTAACTTCAATTATCAGTGAACCTACAAAGTTTGCCTTTAATTGTATTCCTTAAGTAAAGCAATCACAAAATCTCTTGTTTTAATCAATTTATTTTATTCCTTTAGGATTTATTCTTGATGATATGAACTGGTGTAATACCAGTTTAACAGGAGATCTGCACTATGGAACTATTTGTGGTTGCAATTCAAAGAGTAGAGTTATTGGAGCTTACTGGGATGCAGCTTCTGAAGAGGTGGGTATTTACTTCAAATTTATTATTTGTAACATTTCTACCCAGGTTTCTTTTCCTTCACGTTCCGCAGTGGAACGTAGGGCTTCAAGCTAGTGGCTTGAAGTTTCTGTAGCAGTGTTTTATTTTACAGGATGGGGTTGCTAGCCTCAGGCCCAATCTTTCCTTTTCACCAGCATTATTTCTGGCTTAGTGAGGTAAAGGAGTGTGTCCATGACTGGGGATCGATTCCCGGACCATGTGCATGGTCGGCGAGCGTCCTAACCGCTATGCCACCGACGCACAATAATATTTATGCAAACACCGAAAAAAACTCGACACGTGAAATGCCCTTTTTCACATAAGAGTAGAACGAAGAGATTGTGGTTGTGAGCAGTTCCCTGTTATCAAGTGTCACTTTGTAGGGAGGGATTCGATTTGTTTCAAAACTTTATCATGAATTAATATCACGAATTGGTAGAATTTGGAATTCACCAGCTGGCTATTGAATCATGTCCCAGTGGCGGAATGGTCAACGAGTTTGTGGGTACGTACTGCCAAAGAGTTCCAAACTGGGACGAAACAACTTTTCAGTACTCTGTGGTTTTCAGTGGTTCTCTAACTGATATCGCCTCATGGATATACTTGAAATAATTCTCTGTTACAGGATTTCATCATGAGCTGACATTAGTTAGAGCAAGGGTTCGAATCCCGGTGGATGCGTACTGATGAAGAGTCCCAAACTAGGACGAAACAGCTGTCCAGTACTCCCAGGTTTTCCAGTGGTTCTCGAACTAATGTCAGCTTATGATGAAATCCTGTAACCAATCAAATCCCTACAAACCAACACTTGAAATAATTCTCAGTTAGTTTGTATTTTTTGCCGTATTGCACAGTGATATAGTGGTATTCAATAAAAGACGTTTCAAGGAAGATTGATTCCGTATACTCATGGTGAAGAAATAACGCAAAGCTCAAAAAAGGTTTTTATGTTTATTCAGCGCCATGTTGTTGACGTCACGATCACTATATGTCACATTTGATAGATTAAACGATTTCAGTTACTTGATTCTACAGGATATTTCAATCTAAGCAGCTTTGTCAATAATCTAACGTGAAGTTCCCGATATCTCCTCTTTATGTATGTCAATACTACAGAGACTCTGCAGTACATCTTGTCAGAATTCCAACTATCCATTCTCATGTTTACTTTTCTTTGTCCCCTGATTGAAAATATACTGAAAAGTTATTTATGCCCAAACCAAGTTCACTTTTAACAGTCTCAAAAGATCTAGGCAGTGGATATATGATATTCATTATAATAAAGGGTTCTTTTTATATTTCCCAATGAATAAAAAACAAAACGATACTGTTGTTGTTTCTACTGACGTTTCGCTATTTAATGCTGCTAATAGCTTTATCAAAGTATTATTAAACCAGAATTCACAAAATCTCACCTTATTATGTATAACAACTTAAACATCGTTCCTCAGCACGGGAACATTTTTGCGTTGTCAAGTTGGCCAATTGGTGAAGATAACATAACCAGGTGTAGATTGTTGGATTTGATAAGTGTATAAAATTATAAAAGCAGCATGTGTTTACATAATGAAATTGCTTATCACATCCGTATTGATTTTTTCATTTCGTGGGGAGAGGAGTGTTGTAACCAGGTCAAATTCTGTTTTAGTTCATCATTCCTATTCAGACAATTTTGATTCCATTTGATGATATGAAGTGCTTCCGATGATATTAGACGTTCTTTGTGGTTTCTGAAATTTTTCTGGATTATTTCAATATTGTCAAAATCAATTTTGTGGCCTGATTCTATAGAGTAGCGTGTAGACCAGCTATGGCTGATGATTTTTCAAGCTTTATTAGTTCAACTGGATTTCTCGGTGGTCGAACGGATGCTCTACGGTGTTCATTTCTTCTGATTTTGATTTCTCTCTAGTGAGGTTTATCCGATGTATATCGCATCACATTCCAAGCATTTTGTTTTGTAGACACAATCAGATGCAGAATATTTAGGGATTTGGTCTTTTATATAGAGAAGGTTGCCTCGCAGTGTGTCCGATGTTTTGAAAAAAACTCTGATGTCATGCTTATTGAGTACTCTTCTGATGTCGTCTGATGTCTTTGATCTATATGGAATGACAACTGTTGTAGTCCATGTTTTCGGAATACGTTTTTAACCACACTTAATGTCAGCGTTGATTTTGTTGATGAAGCTCTTTGGGCATTTATTTTGTTTGAGAGTCTCAATAATGTTTTCTCATCCATTATCAAAGAGATCGCTTGTCTAAGAAGACTTGAAACAACTGATACTTTCGAGCTAATGGAGTTTGATGACCCGAAGTCTAAATATTTGTTGGAGTGTGTTTTCTTCCTGAATAGAGATTTCGCAAAATGTCCCTTCTCCCTCCTCTTAACTAGTCAGGCAGTCTAGAAATGTTAGTTCACCGACGTCTGATTCTGCTTCCGAAGTAAACTGGATGATGGGAGATAGACTGTAAAAACAATATCTTTCTTTTCATTCACTGGGAAATGCAAAAATAACCTTTATTATAATGAACACTGAAAAGTTATTTCACACCTACTAGTAACACATTTAAGATTTTTTGTGTAACGGTTATAAGGTAACTAGTGGGGGACTAGAATATCTATTTCTCATGGCTGCTGTACTATTACGTCCGTGTTTCCATATCATCTACAATAAGCACCAGCATATATGCACATTGGTTTTATTAAAGCTCTTATCAAAGGCGCAGACGTGGTACGTTATGTGAACTGAGAGATGTGCCACACAAAAATAATTAAACAACAATTTATATGGAAAATAAGAATAGAATAAATGAGGGAGGTCGTCCGGAAATCAAGAAGGAACATTCAATCATTCTAGAAAAGAAAATAAACTGAGGCATGTTCACCACTGACTACAATTATTGGCCAAATCTAATACTGTCTCGAACCACTGACTGGAACTGTCACTCAGACCCCACCTAGGAAGTTCTGATGTACTAATAGATGATGACCTAATAGAGGTATCCTTCATTTCATGACGCTGTGTCATAGACTGATCACCTTTCCGCCTTCTCCATTCATTCTTAGGGCTAGAGAACACCGATAGGTATGGGAGCCTCTGGGATAACATTTGTAGCACATACCTTAAGCAAAGAAGTCGGTGTTTCAGGGTGACCGCACTCAATGAAAAGTGACCATCATTGTATAGAAAGATACGCTGCTGGATATCAATGGACACAAGTGATTCTACGAAGGCAGTGCTGATCACCTCACACCCTCATCCCGGAGAAGCAAGGTTTCACAGGCTTAGAGAAAAAATGGGCTTGCAAAAGCACGGTAAGCCTGACCTTTGAAAGTCAAGCTCACGTCGTGAAGATTTGTTAGGTGGACCAGATTGGTGTATTCTTTTATTTTGTGGTTAGAGACCTCATCCTTCACATCTTCACTGGCACTCACATGACTACCTAGATATATGAACTTGTAGACAACGTCATGTGGTTTACTTGCAGGAATGAGTGCAAGTACAAGTTCCTGCCAACCCTGAGACATTACATTGAACAAAGCACAAAAACATACGATACTTAGAGATGCTGATTTCAAACTGATTAAATGCCATATGGGCGGCCATTACGTTATTCTACAGTAAGACGATATACTCTTACAACGGAACACAACGATTGCTGGTATGAAATTGGAGTGACGGTATTCTAGCCACTGATGAAGGGAGAACACATGATCAATCCATCCACGGCCTGAATAAAGTACGGTCTGCTCCTAGAAAATCAGTTTCTTACTTGCTTTGCACAGCCTGCAGAGCAAGACAGCATCCTATATTCCAGACACAACTAGCGGCGAAAAATACCCCTGTGGCTGTCACACACGCTAAACAGTGCTTTTTCAAAGGTCGATGTAGCAATGGCTTCATTTCACATTCGTGGAATATTTTAGTGCATTCCTGAACCATCTAGTAAATTCCGTGACGAGAATCTCGCCATCACCTTCCTTCGTTTGGTTGGTGGGTATTGACCTACAATAAAGCATTGTAGTTAATGATGTTGGATACCAGCGCTGTTGGTCAGCTTAACTATCTCTCGAAGTCCTCTCCCCAGGGTTCCAGACGACGTTTCACACACGAGAGCACTGCACATGTTGTCATAATCGCTGTCGGTTGGAACAGATCCATGGGAGGCTGCAAGGACCTCGCAAAATCTAGTAGATATTGCTAGAGCATTCCTTTTTAGTCGCGAGTGCTTTTACTGGTCATTATAATAATTTGCAGGTGTAGCTAGTAATAATCCATACTGTTTGGAGAGGGACTAGCTAGCCTTGAGTTCGAGTCGGTTTGGTACTTCGCAGGAGTAGTAGGTGCTTCTGGTTTACTTACAGTAACCTGTAGTGGATGCCGTTCACGATCACTCTCAGATCCCAAAATGAATCTGGCACACACTAAAGCGTAACCAGAGTCCAGACATGTGCTCCAGAAGAAGAGATAGCCCTGTGTGCATCCCAGTCATGGGAAACTGATTTCAAAGTCACCAGTCCTAGTTCAGGTTGGTTATCAAGGACAGGACGCTAAACAGTCCTACTGATATGCCTGTGTCACAAGTTATTGCTGGCTATAAACAGATTGTGGCCTGTAGAAGATGGTCCCCGTTATCTGACCTTTTGCCATGTAGATCCCACTCTTGCCGAACTTAGATGAGCAACCTGTGCACTGAAATCCCAAGAAGCTAGCACTCACTTTGATGTACCCGCTTCAGAAGCTTGGTCAGTTTATAGTAAAATTTGTCTTTAAATGCATCCAGGTAGTAGTCCGTCGATGCATGGGCGGGTATGACAATTTGACACTACCTCTCTGACCATTCACTTCTTACTTTGATATAACCTTCTGAGCCAAAGCACATAAACAGCTGTTAGTGGAGATCCAGCCGAGTAATCAGGCTTCTGCTCTTCAGCGCTTATTACGAGACCCACACTAGCTAGGCCAGATATCATCTCCATGAGGTCTCAAGATAAGATAACCCCAACATGTGGGGCTACAGACGAAAAGATATCCAAAGCACCTCACTGTGATCTCGAATACGTGTGTCTGAAGTGCGCCAGGCATCTATAGCAAGACTTTCTAGTCTTCTGGCCTGTCCCGCCTGTTTCCCTTTTTGGCATCAGTGTGCAAATATTGCAGGTGGCAACCTTGAATGTGATATGTAGTTTCAGGATTATATGCCTGACTGAAGATCAGCAACAACTCAAAACTTCACAGATAGGCTGATATTTCAAACAAAATTGAAAGACTCAAGAAAGTGGAGGGTTAAAGCTGGTAAAACCAAATACAAAATAAAGCCAAAAGGGGACACATTGCTAAAAACATGACTGAAGATTTAGTCTGTAACACTAAGCCCGTGACCACGGTCTCTTGTTGACTGCTGTTTCATAATTTTTTCGGTGACGACCAGACCAAATCATCTGGTTGTCTTAAAAAGCCAAACGTTCAGCCTTTGATTTGAAGCATGACATAAAAGACAGTGGAGTAGCATCAGCCAATGTGTCCCCATAATTACCAGTAACCAAACTAGGTTCTTACGCCATTCTATAGACCGTATGTGCCATATATTTGAGATTCGGGTTTTCCAAATCTCCTGGGCAGACCTGCATATCTACTAGTCCGGCTGTAACCTCCAGAGGTTCCCATTCGCCGCCTCACTTGTGTGAGGAATATTTTCTTCTATTATCATATTAATATCAATAACTAACAAAGGCAAGTTTAATAAAATTTATTTAAAGTAACTTGTATCACATTCGTCAAGTCATGAAGAACAGCGTATCTATAACATAAACTTGAAATTAATATGGAGTAAATCAAGAGAACGCACTGTTTTTGCTAAGATTGAATACATTGCATGCTGAGAGAGAGTCATAAGTAACAGAATTAACGAAATAATGAATTTCAGTAGGAAAAAGTGACTTTGATAAAATCGGTCTGTTCACACATATTTAATCGCACGATTATCATGGTTATCGAGTGTTAATATTATCAGAAGCAAATGTAATTAATTAATCAGCAAACCAAAAGAAATAGATGCCTTGGTTAGGAAATGTTTCAAAAGAGAAATATCAACCAATATCAGTGGAACGCGACCACCTTCAGAGAACGGTATTCTCATATCACACCATATGTAGCAACCAAAACCGTCTGAACTCAAGGAACTGATCTCTGCGCCTTACTGTTTGCCTGTCCACAATCTTCTTGAGACACGCACAGTCACAGAACGTTCCAAAGACAGTGAAAAGAAAACTGTTCGTGGTTGAAATCTATTTGTGTGGCTCTATTCAATAATGATAACATCAAAACTCAAAACCATCTCAACAGCACCATTAGACAGATATACAGACAAGTCAACTTGCTAAGTACAAAACAAGTACTGTAGAACAAAATTAGTTAACCAAAACTCTGTCAGCAAGAATCACACAGGATAACTTCCTTCAAACGGTCCGGTGTCAGGATGACCTTGATTCACTCAAACAAAATCCCATTGTAAAACAACACATCATCATTGCTTCAGGATTTCATCATGAGCTGATATCAGTTAGAGAACCATTGGAAAACCTGAAGGGAGTACTCGACAGCTACTTCGTCCTAGTGCACTGTGCCCAGGACTCTTCATCAGTACGGACCCACCACAGGGGTTCAAAATCAGGACATTCTGGTTACACGACAAGCGAGCTTGTAGACCATTAAGGCTATGTGCCCTGATCCAATGACCCATGAATTCTAACTTCTGCCAATTGAAGACATAGCGCGATTGCTGACCAATGTCTTTGGCGAGTATTTGTCCTCTCACCCTCGCAAGCCAATACCTGAACATCATCGTTGTGTCGTACAAACAAAAAGCGAAGAATTAACATTAGAGATCAGACAGGTAGAAAGACAAATAATTAGGAACAAGCCAAGCTATGATATGCAAATATCAGAACAATGATATGCAGTCTAGGAGATAAGCGAATAGTAATAAGAAAGTTAGTTGAAACACCCAAATAAGTGTTAACATTGTAGATAGATCACTAAGGAGGGATTCTGCAAACAATCATTCCGTGAGTTACGCCGTATTCTAAAATTCGATTTAACTAGTTGATTGGTAAGTCTACAGTCAGTGAATACAACCACTAGTTGAGTAAAGAATCCATTAGAAATTTGAAAACAGTGTATTCAGACGAATAACTAAAGAACGATAGAACGATTAGGATGACATTTCTACGACAACTGGAAGCATCCACCCGCTGATTCCTAGCACAAATAATAACTGTCTACTTGTATGAATATTCTTTATTACAGTATGCAAAATCAGCATCTGGTCATGTTTATGTGATACTGAATGGATCATTTGAATTACCGTTCAATGAAAACAAGTGAGCTGTTTATTGCTTTGTCTTTTATTTTTTCTTGGACCAAAAATTCTGCCCAAATCTGGCAATTATCATGTTCGATCTCCTATGAATATAAAAGTGTAGTTTGAACAATGTGTCAAGATCTTGCCAACATTTATTTTCTTTCACTTATTTCGAAATATATTGACACTGGGAATTCACTTCTTAGTATTCTCTCCCGATTCCCACACGATGTGTCGCCATTAGCCGAGTATCTGCAGAATGTTCTCTTGGTAACAAGTTGAAATACTGAACCAAATTTATTGTTTCCTTCTTCTGTAATTGTAACATAATTCATTGGACTTCTTTGCCCAAGAATATTACTCAAAATGATCTGATCACACACGGACTTATCATAGGAATATATATATGAAATTAATAAAGAGTGGCCACACATTCATGGAGAGGAATCATCGATCTCTAAAAGTAAGGGCTTCAGAGAGCATTCCTAGATGGCTTCAGAAGCAAATAGAATCCACAGAACCCACTAATGGTGAGAACGGGAGTCCTAGCTCCTCTATTGTGGAACATATTATACAGACAGGGCATATAATCGATACTTACACGTCTTTCAAACCTATCTGTAAAACGTGTTTAGGGCGTACCCTAAAGTTTCTTGAAGCCCTAGCGATTAGAAAGTTTAAACCACCTATATGCCTTCAAAGCAACAATTCGTCATCACATTAAACCACATTCCTTGGTAAACTTTGTTTTGATACCGTAGCAGATGTACTATTTCCTCTATTATTTGGTTTGATGATCTCAGTTGTTGTTATCACCTTCAATATGTCCTTTTAACTTGACCTAAATCTATTTTCTCACTTCTTATTTCTTTATTAATTTTATATAATAATTTCATATATATATATATATACATATACCTATGTCTAGTCCGTGTGTGATCAGATTGTTCGATATGTGTTGCACAAATACATATTACAGAATTCAGACAAATGCGCCTTCTTATTGCTTTGTCTAAATGCATCAAGGGAACTAATTGTTTCAAAATAATCAATGAGGTGTACTGTCGTACTTTCTGATCAACAAACGGGGCGTTTAGTGAAGTCTTAGCGAAAAGATATCAGGTAATGAAGTGTAAATATAGCAAAAACGGAATAGCCCATGTCATTCAATTTCGAATACAAAATATGCCAACATGATCAAACATGGAGGGTGTTATGAAAGTTCTGTAACAAATTTTAACACTGCTGAAAATGAAAACTGAGATAAATCAGTTATAGACACTTGCCGAGGTGTAAATGATGACGAGGAACACAGAGTTATTAGAAAACATTAGTAGAAAAAGAAGTAATCATAATGTAATACCACATAAATTGCTAGCCAGATGTCGACAAGCTCAGATGTTATTACTGCTGCACTATTAACCCTTTGAATTCCCAGTTGAACATAGGGCATCAGCAGAATATTTCATCTTCTCTTCACTAGGTCACCTACATTTTACCCTCAGACTCACGCCCAGCTCACTGTTTCCCATTCGAGTTCAACTTGAGTTATGGCCTGCATTAAGCGTGATATCATTCGACGATCCCCTCAGTGTGTGTGTCCAATCGATCTCCATATTCTTCAGAATATTTCTTTAGCCATAGGTTCTTGATTGGTTCGTTCACAGACTTTCTCTTTGCTGACTTATCCTTTATGGTCATTTGGTGTTTATTATGGAGCCAGCGAAGATGACAGGTGTTGATGAAAGCCTGCAGAAGCCTTTTGAAAACGCTTTTTGTGATGTGTGAGCCAAGTTTCTGATCCACATAGAAGAACTGAATGACTTAACATTGGTGTTGAGAATCCAGAAAATTGCCAAACTGAATTTCTGTCGTGCCTTTCCGATCCCTCTTTTGAAATTCTCACCAGTACTGACTGCCTGTAGTTGAAACGATGCTTCCAAGACAAGTGAAGGAAGTGACGTCGTCCAAATTTCTCCCCTCGATGGTGATTGGTGGTTGCTGTTGTCGTTGACTGACTGATTATCTACATCGCCTCTGTCTCTGTGTTTGCTGCTTCTTCTGCTAGTTTGTTGGCTTTCACCGGTTAGTCTTCGAGTTTATGTGACATAAGACACGGATCGTCTGAAAAGTCAAAACCTTCTAGAATCTTCTTATTGGTCCTAAGTATTCCGGTCTTCTGCATAATCCAGTCTACCACAGTTAAGAATATCATCGGTGATAATAGGCAGATATTAGAAATCAGTCAACAAAAGCTAAATAATCCATGTTCAAGTGTTGGTTTGTAGGGATTTGATTGGTTACAGGATTTCATCATGAGCTGATATTGGTTAGAGAACCATTGAAAAACCTGAAGGGAGTACTGGACAGCTGTTTCTTCAGTCTGGTTTGGGAATCTTCAGTACCACTCAGCCAATTGGGTTCCGACCCAGGACCTTCTGGTTACAAGGCGAGCTAGCTCGAAGACCATTAAGCCACCAGGACCCGATCCTAGGGCTGGCCCATGAATTCCAACTTCTGCCAATTCACGGGGTTAGAATTCATGGGCCATTGGATCAAGTCCCAGTGGCTTAGTGGTCTACAAGCTCGCCTTGTAATCAGAAGATCCTGGGTTCGAACCCCGGTGGGTTCGTACTGATGAAGAGTCCAAAATTAGGACGAAACAGCTGTCCAGTACTCCCTGAAGGTTTTCTAGTGGTTCTCCAACCAATGCCAGCTCATGATGAAATTCTGTAAATAATACATGGCTTTGTTCCTGTTAGCATTTGTTGGTAAGCGTTATCTGTAACTGTGAAGAAAGCCACATTTTCTCTAGACTTTGGACACACATAATCGATAGGTGTTTCAAAAGACGTTAATCACAGTCTGTTTAGCTGATGACTGAAGACGATGGTGACCTAAACAGCACTGAGTAATCTCAGTCTGAATCTCTAAACAAATATGTATGGTCACCAGTATTATTGATGCATTTTACTGAGGAGTGGCGAAAGCATGTTACTAATTATTTTCGGAATACATTGATGGAGGACGACAAAGTGAATGAATCGCACACATACATACAATAATCAATGCAGATATCAGACTTTTCAAGTTTTATATTCAATGTCATGTGGCCCAAAAGAAAACATCATCATTCAGAGACTATGAGTGTTTATGGACATTTGGAAGTGAGTAGACATGTTAACTGTATAGTAACTCATTATGATTATATTCAGACATTATTATCAACAATTGAGGGATTTATTAAGACAGCGGGGATACATGATAACTCAATGTTTAAGAGACTTGTAAACGAAACATTTGCACCTAACGCAAACTAAAGATCAGGTCGATGGACTTTTGTTGGGACATACTAGCTAGTCAAAACATACTTTTTAAATCTTAAACCAGTAACTTACCAGTTGCGTGAAGTAACTGTTTTCTGGGGTTCTAGTGAGAAGTCGTGGTCAGTGAGGTGCATCCAGTCGGGAGTGAGGATGAATTTCCCACCAATGACACTGGTTGGTAGTCGCGCTAAAATCAGGAATTGTTAGAATTTAGAATTCATGGGTTGGCGATAGAATCGGGTCCAAGTGGCTGAATGGTATGCGAGCCAGCTTGCCTTGTAACCGGAAGGTCTTAGGTTCGAACTCTGTCGGTGGGTGCGTACTGCCGATGATTCCCAAGCACTAGGATGAAACAGCTGTCCAGTACTCCGTGGTGGTTTTCACTGGTTCTCTAACTGATATCAATCCGTAGTCAAACTCAAAAAACAAATTCTGTATCTTTCTCATGAGTCAGATATTTTTCTTTTTTGTATCAACAGTAGAAATGTTCACAAATGACACATTCATCCTATTTGGCTAAATCTGTTGTGGTCGTCAAACTTAAAATTGACAGAAAACCTTATCAGGTAAAGTTATAATAATGAATATATCATGCGTATGACTGAGCTTTTGTCGTCATCATTATTCCTTCTTCTCTTAGGACATTTTCACGTGTCGAACTGCCACTGTTAAAATACCCTCAAGTTCACAATTTAACAGTGAAGTTAGTTCACAGTTTGCAGCAAACAGGATATTAGTAAGTTAATTTTCACAACATGAATTTATGTTTGAGTTATTTAACCATAGGTTACATTTGATGTTGGATTAGTGTCTAAAACAGTAGTTCTAACTATCCGGAGGTGATGACTGAATATGCAAAATATCGTCCAATATCTGTTAAATTGTAATCACCAGATAATGCACAACTTCCTCAGAGTAATTCCTTACTAAGTGTTGCATTTATCACTTCAGCGGATGCATTGGAGCGGATTGATTGAAACGGATAATGAGTGAAGGAACATGTTGGCAGTATCATGAGCTGTATCATGAAATGGTGGAATTCTAATTCAAGTATCCCCGAATTGCACCTGATAAGAATGAACGTTCATAGTGAGTGACATTAAAACTGGGTGGTAATAAGTACGCACTGCTAGAGGCCGAAGATAGGACAAAATAACTATCCAGCGCATCTTGATTTTCATTGCTATTTTAACTGGTGTCGACTCGAGACGATGTCTAAATGGAGACTAATCAAATCTCTACATACTCACGATTTTATCACGTTTCTGTTGACGTCTGGGTTAAACTTCACACTACTTAAATGAATTAAGAAAACAGGTTGAAATAGAGACTGTAATATGTCTGTATGAATAATAAATAACCTTTTTTGCTACCAAATCCCACGTGTTATGGTCTGAACGCAGAAAACCGATATTTGTGTCCTACTGTGTGGCTGAACAAAACTAACTTGATTTGGGTGCAGCACAAAGATGTCTCGATGATAGTAAAAAGATTGTTATTTTCAACTAAATCTGAGGTACTTACTATTTAACAATCATAAAATGTTAAATTGCCGTTGGACAGCTATACAGAGCCCATAGTTTCCCGAGTATAAGACAAGTATATGACCAGAATCAACCGTATGAAGGTCGTGAGAATCAAGAAGAATATTCCCAACAAGGTGGGATCAAAACTTCGTCAGGAAGAATCACTCACCAAGCACTTCTTACATGCATTTCAAGGTCAGAATCACCTTGACTCAATCAAACAAAATCGCAGTCGTAAAACAACACACTGTGAACATCATCACATAACCACAAAGAGCAGTATTAAAATTAGAGATTGAACAGCAACGAAGACAAATAATGAGAACTGAGCCAACAGGTGATAAGCAAACGTCAGAACAATGATATAGAGTCCAGGACAATAAAGGATCATAATTAAAAAGTCAATTGTAATGTCTAAATAAGTAGCGATATAGTAAATAGGTCGTCAAGGAGGGATTTTCCAAAAAATTATTCCGTTACAACCTGAGTTGGAAGTATTCCGAATGCAGTTGTACTGCATCTACTGCATGAAACAAACTAACTTCTATTAATTATTCTAACACAACCTGCTTCTCTCCAGTTGCGATGATTTTCCATAAGTTCAGAATAGGGTCTTGCCAGCAGAATTACAAGCAAAATTTAACACATTACAATGAATGGGAGAAAGCTATGGAAACCTTCAAAAATGACCGACATCGTAACCGGAAGGTCCTGGCTTCGAATCCCGGTGGGTGCATACTGATGAAGAGTCCCAAACCGGGACGAAAGACTGTCCAGTTCTCCTTAGTTCTTTAACTGATGTCAGCTCATGATGAAATCCTGTAACCAATCAAATCAACTGCGTATAAACCAACACTTAAATTTAAAAAGTCTCTCTCAGAAGCTATTTGTAGTCTTTGTCGTATGCAAAACAACCCTACTTGAGACTGAAACAGTAATTATTTGCAACTGTTTCTCCTCATCTTTCTTTCTAGTCACACATGCAAATCTTTCAATATTCTTGAGCTTGCAAGGAAGGTGATTTCACAGAACATTGGATTTGAATGCATTGAAGATCCTGCGTAAGTTGATTAAATGCATAAAATTTATCACATTGAAACTTTCATTTTACTTTCATCACTGCTGACTTCAGACGGAAACACAAACTTTAAAGAAGTGAGAGTTAGATTTCAGTTCTCCTTAGTATTTTACCAATAACTTTGGGATGCTAGTCACTTGCAGTAAAATCATATTAGTAGGTGGTGAAATCTCCTTAAAAATGGCTGATACAATATTAAGCGTAGTTTCAGAGTTTCTGCACGAGCGATCACTTTCTAGTGTAGTCACAGTCCGAAAATGGATTTTCAAACTCACATTTCAGACTCAATGCTTTCCTGATAACCCCCAAAACTTAGCATTAATACAGGTTTATGGTATTTCTCTCCCAGCTATCTTTCATAACCTGTACTCAATAGAAGTGTTTTACATTAGTGAGTCTTCTAACTGGATGAATTCATTATAGTATTAACCAAGGAAAATCAAAGAATTGTTGGTATTAGATGGTTGGAGGCAATCGGTAGGGAGCCTTGGACCTAGGTTTCATGCTAGTTGGCACTCCTGCAACCTCGTAGGAACTCATATGCCTTCTGGGATTCAAAACTGTGTCACTTAGTGGAGTTCTACAGTCAGAGATGCTACCACTGAGGTATTCAGGCTCGCAATTGACCTCCTGTAGGACTGTATTGGATATTTTTGACTTGACACTAATGAGTACCTAGTATAATGTGTCTAGTCCTTTGTTTTGGTACAGACTGAATTGTGTCAGTCACAGTGCACTGTGACGGCGAGCCACCCAGTGGCATGGTGGCTACATTGCAAACTGACTAGTGTCCAATCAAAAATTCAAAGAACATTTACAACTAGACACCGTGAATTTGACCATTCGTCTGCGATAAATTGACACAAGTAAACAAATAGCCAAAAATTTGTTTGAAGGGCAAACCTGAATAAGCTTTGATACTGTGATTATGAGTTTGGAATAAGGCATTTAGAAGACAAATTTCGCGAGATGATATCATTTCGTAGTTTCTTTACAACTGCTTTACAACTAACATGGTTCCCAATAATAAAATAAAGTAAAAGGCATGACAATTACTCAGTTATATAAAACAAAAGTACATACTAATGACCAATCATATTTAAATAGGTCAACGAGTCCATTGTAGGCGAAGGTTGAAGTCTATTGTTTTTTGTACACACAGTTTAGGATGTATGTGATTAATCCAAAGTGCTTCCATCACCTTCAATAACCTTGAATTAGAGTTATGTGAAGTAATTGTGAAACAGTCATTAATATTGATTTTCTTACCCGATATCAATAAGTGCTTTGGAATGGATTTCTATTCAGATTAATCGCAGTGGTATTTGCTATATGGTTTAATAACCACATCTAGAACATGTTCTTTTCGATGACATCGGAACATTCTATTGGTTCTGCCTATATAAGTGTCAATGGAACTGCAGGTGAACTTGTAGATACAGGTTGAAGAAGAGTCAACAGAATTTCGTCCTTTAATCGTAGGTATAGGGATGGAAAATGTTCAGCATGTGAGGGAAAGAGGTGCAACGTAAAATGTGCGTTTGATGGCTGACGGAAGTCTTTGAACTATCAACTGCATAATCTGGTCACACTTGAATGGTAGGTTGATGAAGATAGCTTTCTTTGATACAGAAGTTGTCTTTTCTAAATGTGGTCTATGCTTACTGTGACAGTTGATAAAGTAGGTTATCTGGATAACCATTAGCTAATAAAACTGAATGTATGTGTCGAAGCTCATCCATCAATGTTTCGCGGGCCCTTGAAAACAGACATTTCACTAGGAAACGTTTTTACTGGATAGGAACAAAACTGGTGAAATGAAGATATTGTCCACTCCATGTCTCTTTAGGAAAAATAGATCGCTTAGTCGTTTCATAGTCTCTCCTGGTCATTGAAATATCCAGGAAACCGAGCTTGTTATTCGATTCGAGTTCGGAAGTCACTCGGATATTTGGATGAATATGATTAAATAGAGTAATAAAGTTTTCAATAGACTTACTGATATTATTACCAATAATGAGAGTATCATCCACATAACATTTATATAGCATAAATTCTTCAAGCATACCTTACATTTGTTTTTTATGAGTTTAACTCAGTGACACTCCGTTATATCGCTAAAATTATCAACTAATGTTGCGTTTTTTCTGTTTTTTCTGTCTATTTAATATCACTTACAGAGACATCAAACATTATCTATGTATCAAAGGTCATGCCAGTGATGCTTGTCAATTTTCAAGTTCACCAAGATCAGTATATATGTTTAACTCATTTCTTCTCACTTTATTATGCGTTTTTTGTATTTTGCAATACATTCTGTAGAGTTGATATTTTCATTTTTATAAGAAAAAATACAACAGATTATTGAAAAACCAAAGTAATTTTTTCATGAATTAAGTATAACAATCGAACAGACATTGTAGTAGTTATTTGTTATTTGTTTGTCTCATAGTTATCAGACTTTTGAAAGTATTTTCAGTGGTCAATTCCTTGTCTGTTTACGTTGACAAATCCGGCAGAGAATAGCCCTTAAAAGCCTCATTCGGGGGGGTGGGGGAAATAAGATGACATTGCATTTTTAGTGTGGTGTTATTATAATATTATTATTATTGTATCCTTAAATTCCTACAGGAACATAGGGTTTCAGCCGTGTGTATCCATTGCTTTCGGTTCTCTGCTAGAGTCTTCACCTGGCTCCATGTCTGCCCACACGTTTTCATCTCCTCTTCACATGACCTCCTCAAAGTCACCCTTGGACGACCAACTCGCCGCTTTCCTTTCGGGTTTCACTCGAGCAATGGCTTGTCTAGTGATGTCACTTGATGGTTTCCTCAGAGTATGGCCAATCCATCTCCATTTCTTCCTGCCTATTTGTTTCACAGTCGGTTCCTGCTGTGTTGGTTCGCTCATTGCCAGAGATCCCTGTTGCTGATCTTTTCTGTCCGGCCGTCTGATTTTGAGTATTGAGCGAAGACAACTGTTAATGAAGGTCTGTAGTTTGTTTGAGATGCTCTTTATGTCGCGTAGTGCAAGTCTCTGATCCGTATAGCAGCAATGACTTCACATTGGAGTTGAAAATCGGGACAGACGATTATTTGTATCAGCAAATATTGTCGATGATGAGTCAATTAGTGTAATATTTCCCCCAAGTAACCTTAGCCTTCGCTTATAATCTCCGGATAACTGTATGTTATAGTTGTTGGGCACTCATGACGCTTTTTGTATTTCCCAAAGTTTGTAAATGTCAGATTCTCATCGGTCGATAACTACTCGAAATTGTCAGTGAATTTATTGTTTTCAAGAGTTGGTTTGTAAGGATTAGATTTCTTTTTTTCCGAGTTTGGCCACGGATTGATATCAGTTAGAGAACGACTGAAAATCAACAGGGAGTACTGGACAGCTGTTTCATACTAGTGCTTAGGAATCATCGGTAGTACGCATCCACAGAACGGAGTTTCCTGGAATTCTAGTGAGATGTCGTGGTCAGTGAGGCGAATCCCGTCTGGAGTGAGGATGGATAATTTCCCGCCAGTGACAATGGTTGGTGGTCAGTTATGCTAAAATCACGAATAGGTAGAAGTAGGAATTCATGGGCTGGCGATTGAGTTGGGTCCCAGTGGCTGAATGTTCTACAACTTCACCAGTCTTGTAACCGGAAGGTTCTGGGCTTGGACCCTGGCGATGGGTGCGTACTACCGATGATTCCCAAGCACTAGGATGAAACAGCTGTCCAGTACTCCGTGGTGGTGGTTTTCAATGGTTCTCTAACTGATATCAATCCGTGGTCAAACTCGTAAAAACAATTTATTGTTTGTCAATATCATGTAAATCTTGTACTTACTGCAGCACTCTGAAGTGTTTTGACTGCTGTTTTAGACGATGAAAGCTCACTTATCGATAGACAGTATTCTCTCTTGTTTCCGCGTGTTGTCATTATTGTTATTCTAGTAATCGGCATCACCGTTAGCGATTGGAGCTACTTACGTTCGTACCCATCGCAGTCTGCTAGGTCGTATTACCAGTCATTTGAAATTTATAGGCACGAATGGGATTGGGACCCATACAAAGAGGGCTCAATAGATTAGCACTTAGATAACAGTCACACGCAAATTAAAGCGTAAGAAATGAGAATTCAGCTGCTGAATATTTAGTGATCTGTCTTCTCTGAGTAACTGATATGCAAGTCCTTATTTGATGTAATCAGGAGTTAGAATGTCAATACATATGAATACACTGTAATTATCAGATCTATAATTTTCAATGTCACCATCATATTCGGGTTAAAATTATGATCAGTTTGTTGACCTGCAAACAAAACTTACTTCGTACTATGCGTTGAAAGGGTAAAAATTGTCTAAGAGTAATAAGAAAAATTCGATCTGACTCAAATGTGTTTCACTGAAAGTCGAAATCAGAAATTTTCGCAGTAAACGAGAGACGTGAAACTAATGAAAAGACGGGAAATGCACTTCTCTCAGTGTTTTATGATGACAATGTCTGAAAGATCAAGATAAAATTTATAAAGTGTGACTGAAGCCAAATTATGCAAAATATTACTGCAATTCATGATATTTTAATCTGCTCACTGAACATTGTAGCGATGCATCCTGAGTCACGTTGATTCATGAGCATCGTTTATCACTTGGATAATTGACAAATATTATTATCTGAAGAATTCAACATGTGGGGAAGCCTTCTATACATATTAAATTCAGCATAACAAAGACTAGGCAAATTAATCCATTAACACCAAACTAGCGGAAATTCACAAAATATAAGTATAAAACTTGTCCACTATAGTAGAGTATAACTCCATTATGGATAAGAATTTATTTTGGTAAATCAAACAGTGTTGTTATTGAGTAATATTAACTGATGACCACGTTTCGATCACAAAGTATTGCTCGTAATCATATCAAGTTACTCACACAACCTTTTTCCTTCATTTATATACATGTGCGGAATCGATTTGATATTGGAATAAAAA